CCATTACAGATCCCCTCTGTAACAGCCGCTTTAATAAATCTCTTGGTCCTGGCCGGGTGTGGAGTCATTACTGGCGCCGAACTTCTTTCAGACACCATGAGCCCCATGTCCCAAAAAGGCCTCTTTCCTTCTCTCTGCCTTACTTTACTGATTGGCAAAATGGGATCATATTTACAGATTTTCTGCTTCAATGATATTTTCTGAGAATCAAATGACCTAATACAGTTGTTATAAATGTATCATGTACAAATGCATGCAATTGCTACCATATAATTATAGATATCAACAAATGTAAGGTCAATAACACCTGAAGCATCAGAGTGAGGCATAGTTGGGAGAGTTACCATTGTTACAAATGCAGAACACAAGGAAGAACTGACGTCTTACCTGTCTTTAAAGAACATCACTTCTCCCCGAATCGTGGTGACAGCATCGAAGCTTATCTTACTGTCGCACGCTTGTGGGGTTTGTGGGCCTGTTGGCTGGATGGGATTTTGTGAAGGTCCTAAAGAAAACGAAAGACCCAGGGTTAGTTTTGCCTAGTATTGGAGAGCGACAGCAACAGCGAAAGCCAGCTTCTTAAAGTACACAGTTAATGACTCTGTTCTTTGAAATCGGAATAAAGGCCAGCAGGCCCTTGTCCATGGTGTTTTTCCTTATACTTACCATATATGGCTTGGATGCCGTCAATGTCATCCTGAGCGAGCTGAACATCGCCACTGTAGGTATAGGTGGGGTACATCAAAGCCCCAATATCAGTCGAATGAGAAAGTCCCAGGGAATGCCCAAACTCGTGAGCCGCGACGCGATATAAATTGTAGTCTGAAAAGGCCGAAAACCCAGGTGCAGTTATTTGAAATGTATTCAGTTTTGAGACCCTTAAGTAATAAATAATCCACAGCTCTACCAGGACTAATGCTCATATTTTCTCAGTGACTTTTTAATGTGTATAGATCTACATATAAAACTTTTTTCCGAAGGCTGGAGACATGAACTTATTAATAATGAAGAGACATGTTAAAGTCTGAACTCTATGATTACACAGAAACAACTAAAAGACAAACTCAACTGACTGAAAATCTAGCACAGACCAGTCATTCTTGTCAATGATTCGATGGCACATATTTCCCAGAGAAGCAATGAGTTTCTGTCAACATTTAATATTTTTTCTTGTTTATAAAACTGACAAATACTGCCAGAAGTTTTGGAAAACACAGAAAGTCTTCCCTTCCCTCAATGTCCATTAATTTCTACCACTGTTAAATTTTGCTGACCTTTCTAATAAAAAAAAAAGATTCAGTGTGGATGCCCACAAATAAAACATGAAAATTTCAACATATTATTATTATTATTATTATTTTTGAGTTGGAGTCTCACTCTGTCGCCCAGTCTGGAGTGCAGTGGCCGCTCCCGGCCACCGCAGCCTCGACCTGCTGGGCTCCGGCGATCCTTCCGCCTCAGCCTTCCGAGTCGTTGGAACTACAGGTGCGCGCTACCATGCCCGGCTCATTTTTTGATTTATTGTAGAGATGAGGTCTCGCCTGCTCAGGCAGGTCTCGAACCCACGGGCTCAGGCAATCCACTCACCTCAGCCTCCCTAAAGGCGCGGGATTACAGGCTGAGCCACCGAGCCTGGCTTCAACATATTCTTAATATAAATTTTAGAGTGGCCTACTTGTTACCCCTAAGATGTTACTAGCAGAAATAAGCTCTATTTCGCCCGTGTATCATTCATTTTCTGAGTGGCAATTAAAAATGCATACTTCTATTAAGGTATTATTTCAGATACATCAGCCAATATAACAGTGAACCACAAAGGGGGCGGGGGGTGACTTGAGAGATGCAAAATCGATGGACTTACTTTGAATATTGTTGGTCCACGTTTCATCTTCATCAAAATGAGCATCTCCGCCAATGTTGGGGCCTGGTTGAAAAGCATGAGCCAGGTTTTCTCCAGGTCCGTAGAAGGGAGAATTGTCCTGATGGTCTGCAAGGAATAGAATTCAACAAAGTTCCCTCCAACTTCTTGCTTGGGCCAACCCAGGTAGGCAAGCATTAGCTTTGTTAAGAGGCCACCAGACTTCCATCAAATGTGATGTAATTTTCCTCCTTGAGACTATAAAATCGACACTCCTCTTAAACCAGGATTTCCAGCTGCAAAGCTGAAGGGATTTAGGGTCAAGGTAAAGTTAAGTTGCTCCAAGACGAACTCACCTCCCCTGACAAAGGAAATCATTATGTCCGCTTGACCCTCAACGACCTTAGTGAACCTGAGAGGTGAGGCATTACTCCAGAGTTGAAAGGCTTTCTCAATGGCACGGTCCACCTCCGCTTTTGGCAGATCTGGTGTGTAATTTTCAATCCTTAGGATGAAATGAAATGGAGACAGAGAGACCTTAGTTCTCACCGCTCTAATGAGAAATAGTGCTTTCACTCTGGTGCTCAGTCTGCTTACCTGTAGGTCAGATCCGTTTTCTGCCAGCGAGGGTTCCCCTCAGTGAGGACGAATTGAGCCACATCGGGGACCCCACACCTGGGCTGCTTCATCACCTTCAGGGTTTCGGGATCTGGCTTCCCTGTCACCTTCAGCCCAAAGAATTTTTGCATTTCCTTCAGTTTTTCAACCACGGGAGCACTGTGTCTCTGCTTTTCAAATTGCTTCCCATCATTCTTCAGGTTGAAGTAGTTTTCCAAGTATTTCTGATAAAAGAAAATGATTGAAAGTCTGGATGGAGCCGGGCTCGGTGGCTCAGCCTGTCATCCCGCGCCTTTGGGAGGCTGAGGTGAGTGGATTTCCTGAGCCCGCGGGTTCAAGACCCGCCTGGGCAGCGAGACCTCATCTCTACAATAAATCAAAAAATCAGCCAGGCGTGGTATTGCGCGCCTGTAATTCCGGCTACTCGGAAGGCTGAGGCGGAAGGATCGCCGGAGCCCAGCAGATCGAGGCTGCGGTGGCCGGGAGCGGCCACTGCCCTCCAGTCTGGGCAACCGAGTGAGACTCCAACTCAAAAAAAAAAAAATGTCTGGATGGAAACTCTTTCTTATGATTCTAAAAACTGATAGCGTGAAGTTTTAGCCAAAACAGAGGATTACTTTGAAAGCTTGTGTATAGATTTCATGATCCTTATTATGGTTCTCATTGGTGGAGAGAAAAATAATGCAATTTCAGAGTAGAAACGTCCCTACCATTAGTTACCATGACTTCATAGTAGACAGAGGTTTGCAGAGTGAGATCTGCATTCTGTTGCATGTCTATAATTTTTAGAGCGAAACATGCAAACTGTTCCTTCTTGCTTGTAGCTGGAAAAAGGAGATTCTATGCATAGCTAGACACATGTTTGGGAAACACTCTGTTTCTGACCTCTCCCCCACAAAAAAAATTCTCTTTGTGGGAAGTCCATCCTTAAATAAACTCCAAGACACTACGGTGGAAAAATACCCACCAAACCCTTGCATGTCTGGCGTGTAAACGTCAGCGTTACCTGGACTATCTCCACATCTTGCTCTCGTGTCTCTGAAGTCGCAGGGAAACCACGAGATCCCACAGCCCAGAGCAGCATCAGCACCAGGGGAAGGCTGGGCATGCTGGCCTTGGTCTTCCTTCTCGAAGGTGCAAGACTCGTCACAAGGACTGGCTGCCTACCTGCCTCCTGCTTCAATATCTCAGCTAGGACGGGCCCTTTTTATATAGAGACCTGGTCCTTCCAGAAAGCCGGGGGTTGTGTGACTCACATTTCATAACATCCTCTTGATTAGGAATGAATAGCCTGAGCAGTCATCAGGAGTGGTGACTCTGGGCGGATTATTTGGGTTTGCTGGTGTTGCAACCTTATGAGTAATGTCCAACCGTGTAAACAGTTGTTTTCTCCAATTCATGGCTATCACGAGTCACAGAGCACTCCACGGCCTTTTGCAAAATGGCTTTTACTTCGTGATTCTGCCAGTCATAAAGCACTACCAGCTTCTGCACACACCTTGCTCCCAGGGCAGAGGGTGGACTTACTCACACCATGTGCCCTGTGCCTGTGCAGCCCCTGGACTGACTGAAGTTCAGCTTCTCAAGCTTTCACTCCGTGGTGGCTCTCCAGGGTTCTCTGAGGTTCCCTTCTGCTTTTTTAAGCCACAGCCCCACAGCTTCATCTTTATTCAGCCCTATGATCTGAGAGCCTTGCCTGAGAAGACCCCTCATCCTCTGGTGGGGTTTAACTCCCCACCTGTGTAGACCCTGCCCGCCATCATCATGGGACAAAGAAGATCCTTCTTTGACACCTGTCAGCACATACAAGGTGAGGGAGGGGCCGGCAAGAGACCCAGTGGAACGCGGGGGTTTTATCATCCTTGTTCCTCTTGACATGAGCCCATCTTTGCTACCTGGGGCTGGGTGTCATTTATTTATTCTTTCATGTATGCATTCACTCACGTGTTTGTGCACTCATCCATTCAAAAGACCATATTTTGTATCTCCCACATGTTATAACGAATACAAGGCTCTGTAATGATTTATTCATTGACTTATGTTCCACATGCAGTTGTCTTGGGAAACACCCAGGGCATCCGCATCACACCTGGTGAGAAAACCTGGTGTGTCTCTGTGGCGGCCTCTCCCCATGCCCCACACTCTTTAGGAAGCGTTTGCCTGAGACACGAAGCTGAGAAACACTGTTCTCCACTCCAGCACCTTGCGATGTCTCCCACCTTCCCCTGGCACCAGTTTTGCTTTTCGAGACTTTTCTCACCTTACGAATTGCTGTTTTCCTTGCCACAGCAAAAATGACGTCTTATTCACAAATCATGTTTCAATATATCTTGGGTTGATTTCAAAGAAATTCATATCCTCTCTCATCATTTAACCACAACTTCCTCATCTAAGGGGGGTAATGTGTGCGTTCACAAGGGTAAGAGGAATTGGAAGACGTTCTCACGAAAATTAAATCCTCTCCTTCTCACGGGGAACAGATGGAGGGTGGGGCGGAGGCCAGAGAACACTTGCAATGAAAGGAACTCCAGACGGGCCAGGAAAATAACGAAGGGGCTCTTTATATTAGAGGTTGGACACAGGTTATGTGTTCGAAGTCGAGGGGTGGCAGACACACCTGTCAGGGAACCTCGTCAGTGTGATGAGGTCCCTCTACCCCCAGTTCCACTGACACCTAGGACACAAGGGTCACAGGAGAGCAGTATCGTGACCATCTGGGATTGGGTAAGAAGTTGCATGAGCTGGTATCCTGGAAGAGTCTCATAACATGTCCCGTCTGGCAAGAGTTTGCGTATTCTACAGTCTAGACAGTTTCAAACTTTTGCAAACTACTGTATTCTTAAAACAAAATGCCTTTTGGGAAGCCCACTTGACAGCCAGAAGAAAGCCGATGTTCTCTAATGGATGTTGGAGATGGGGCCGTGGAATCCCACCCACCACGCCCACTTTGTGTCCCCTTCTCCAGCCAAGCCCTCCGACTTCTGATAGCCCAAGTCCAGAGCTCGCTGGGCTCACAGTACTTCACTGCAGGTCAGCAGTGCTGACACGGGCTGGAAACTGGTTGCCCCAAACAGCTTTTTGTTAAATTTCTTGCCGGGCTCGGTGGCTCAGCCTGTAATCCCACGCCTTGGGAGGCTGAGGTGAGTGAATTGCCTGAACCCGCGGGTTCCAGACCCGCCTGGGCAACTTGGTGAGTCCTCATCTCTACAATAAATCAAAAAATTTAGCCGGGCATGGTAGCACGCGCCTGTAGTTCCAGCTACTCGGACGGCTAAGGCGGAAGGATCGCTGGAGCCCAGCAGGTCGAGGCTGCGGTGGCCGGGAGCGGCCACTGCACTCCAGTCTGGGCAACAGAGTGAGACTCCAACTTAAAAAAAAAAAAAAATTCTTCCTAATATCACAGAGAATTTTACATTCAGTTTGGTAAAGCAGCCAGCCTCAAAGATTCATGTGGTCCCAAGTCTTGACATTTCCAGTTGGGTATTCACAGCAGAACTTCTAACACAACACACATAACTTCTGGGCTAGTGCCAGTGTGTGAGTTATTTGAGGGTTAAATAGACAGAAAACAAAAATCTGGAACAGAAAGCTGGAAATTAAATCCTACTAAATCCTGGCAATGTCTGGATTCACATAGTTTCCAAGAAGCTCAAATCTTGTTTTGCTTTGTTTTGTTTTTTGAGTTGGAGTCTCCTCTGTTGCCCAGGCTGGAGCCCAGTGGCACGCTCACAGCTACTGCAGCCTTGACCTGCTGGGCTCAGACGATCCTTTTGCCTCAGCCTTTCAAGTAGGGGGAGGCACAGGTACGCGCCACCACGCCTGGCTTATTTTTATTTTATTTTATTTTTTTTGAGCTGGAGTCTCACTCTGTCGCCCAGACTGGAGTGCAGTGGCCGCTCCTGGCCACCGCAGCCTCGACCTGCTGGGCTCTGGCGATCCTTCCGCCTCAGCCTTCCGAGTAGCTGGAATTACAGGCATGCGCTACCATGTCTGGCTGATTTTTTGATTTATTGTAGAGATGAGGTCTCGCCAAGTTGCCCAGGCAGGTCTCGAACCCATGGGCTAAGGCAATCCACTCACCTCAGCCTCCCAAAGGCGCAGGATTACAGGCAGAGCCACCGAGCCCGGCTGTGGCTTATTTTTTTTTATGTATTGTAGATGCAAGTAGATGCAAGTTCTCGCCAAGTTGCCCAGGCTGGACTTGAACCTCTGGACTCAGGCAATACTCTTGCCTCTGCTTCCCAAAGTGCTGGGATTACAGGCATGAGCCACCACACCTGTTTTTCAAAACTTGTTAAGCTTGTATTTGCTCTTCACATTCAGATGACGTTTCTCCTCTGGAGGAAACTTCTTTCTCCATAATTCCTTTTGAATGCAGTTTTTGTGGAAATTATTACTCTAGTTCCTATCCCCTGGGAGAATGACAGGCCTAAGGGGACTTTTATGAGGACTGTGACAACTGACTGTGGAATATCTCTGGGCAGACGAATTATCTCCATGGTTTTCTTGGTCACTTCGTGCTGGCCACATTGTGAAAGGCCTCCCAGATGTTTGCATTTTTCCATATTAAATTCAATCTTGCAACTTCAATTGTGCTTCTTATTCTTTTTATTTTTTATTTTTTTGAGTTGGAGTCTCACTCTGTCGCCCAGACCGGAGTGCAGTGGCCGCT